TTTTTTAAAACGGAAAATCTCCGTTTTCAAAAACACCCGTGTACGTGTGGACGTAGCTTCAGACTTGAGCTTTGGTTATTTGGCGTTCATTATAACCCTATCACCATGACATTTTGACAGAACATGAACTGTTGTGTTTAGGTTACCACGATAACCACATTGTGATCCGGTGGTTCTGGGCAGCAGTGGAGAGATTCAATAATGAGCAGAGATTGCGGCTCCTACAGGTAGTTAAAGAGGCCTTTTATTAAAAACAACAACAACAAACAAACATGTAACACTGCAGTTGTTTCTTGGTGTTCTTATCCGCATGTCTTTTTTCTACTTGTTATCTCTCACCTTACACCCTCAGTTTGTGACTGGGACGTCCAGTATTCCATATGAGGGCTTTGCTTCTCTGCGAGGCAGCAATGGACCCCGCAGGTTCTGTGTGGAGAAGTGGGGTAAAGTCACCTCCCTACCCAGGTAAATGCCAACCATCTCAGATTTGCATAAAAATGTTATGGTTTTGTTCTTTTTGTTTGTTTGCTTATAAATATCTTAAAACTATTAAAGATGAAAGCCTGAAATTGACTATTAGCTGGTCAAAATATGTGCAAAAAATAATTATAATAATGACAATTCAATCCAGAAAGGTGTATACGTACTGGTAACAAGTCAGGTTTTTACAGGAAACAATGATATAATTACACTGGAAGTAATTTTAAGTATTGGGCAATTTTCCAGAAACACAAACAATACTTCGCTATCTTACATTGTAAGCACCTTGTACTTTTTTATTTTTTTTACAAAAGGACAATAATCAAGGATTGCCTACATGCAAATTAAACCTACATTCTAGCCAATCGGCATGCAGTGTAGGCAAAAACAAAACTACTCAAGTAAAATACAAATACCTGAAAATTCTACTTAAGATTTGTACTTCATTACTTCCCACCTCTGCAGTTAACCAAAGAGGAGAGGGGATAGCTCTGCATTGCCTAGAAAATTATTACAAGGCAGCCTGACTTCACTCTTGTCAGAATTGCTTCCAGCAGAATTAGATGGCAGATTAAAAAAAGGGTAGAGAATGGAATCACTTCATGTTGCATTATATATCATCTGAAGCCTGGATTCCTTCCAAAAACATTCAAATAATTATAATTTAGAAAAAGAGGACGTTTTTTAGACATCTTCAAAAAAGACACAATTACACAAGGTTAAGAATCTGGCCTGATCACTATTTTTGTGAACTCATATGAAGGCAACACAAAGGGGAAACTTATTTCGAGTCTCTGCAAGAGAAACACGTTACTTTTATCTACCTTGTACATTTAGGGAGAAAGATGCAAATATAAAATAAATAAAATGACTGGCTTAATATGTATAAGAAAGGCTGCTACACCTCAAATTCAGAAACATGCAAAGGAGTAATTGGGAAGAGCATTTTAAGATTTTTCATATCACATGTCCAACTATTGAAGATTGTTAGGATAGAGACTGTATCACATATACATGCAATGGAAAGAATGAAATTTTCCTTTAAACATTTAACTGATAAAAATGATCATTAGTGGTCAAAATGAAATATTTTTTAATCAGAGGTGCTCTCCTTCTTTCTCCATGTAGGTAATTTTGATATGATACAATAGTGATAGGATTTCTGGTTCTAATCAAAAATGTATTATTATGTATATATGTGCTATTAGGGATGGGTATTGATAAGATTTTCACAATTCCGATTCCATTTTCGATTCTGTTTAACGATTCGATTCTCTTATCCATTGTTTTTTAAAAAAAAAGGAGAACACTAAGGTCGATTAGCTCAGAACTTTGTTTTATATCTTCTCTTTGAACAAGATAGAAATTTAGGAGTAACATGGCCTTACAAACCCAACAGTGAGATCTTAAGAGATCCAACCTACGGCTCTTCAATGGGGTGTCACAGGGTCCCCAGGGAAAAAAATGTAAATGTAAAATAATAAAATAAATATTCTTCTGTAGCAATAACAAAGTATAACATAAATTATTCTGTAGCAATTACACAAGAATATCCAGTAATGTCCCTGCCTACAATTAAACACATTCACTTACTGAAAATCATCTGCTGTGGCAAATGGGTGCAAGCCTTTGACCACAAACTGAGTCACTGCTCGGTGACATTCGTCTATCCTGCCTGAGACGATTATTTACCTGCCGCATTAACGGGAGAGGACGTGCAAACGTTACCGCTGCTGCTGGGTTGAGATTCACGAGTCCGGAGCGGAATTAAAAACACGACGTTCATTTAAGATCATCGCGTGTTTTGTGAGCAAATGCTTTTGCATATTTGTAGTGTTTCCTCCCTTAAATGAAATATCTACTTTGCAAGTATTGCAAGTTGTCCTGTTGTCATCCGTTCTCGTAAAGTACAACCAAACTTTTTAGCGTTTGAGCCGCTTAGTTTCCTGCCAGGTAAATGACGCTCTGCAATGTGGTGACGTCATTCGGGGCGACTGGAATCGATATGGGAATCGTTTGTAAAAATGACAAACAATTCCAAGGAATTGAAACAGTGGGAACCGGCTCTCCACAAGAACCGGGTTTCAATACCCATCCCTATGTGCTATACTAGAAAAGAACTTGAAAGATACTTAGTCTTCACAGAAACATGATATGATTACATATACAGGTGCAACAATATGTTTTTTAATTTTTCTCTCTCATCTTTTCAGTTGAGTTTCTTATCTTTGACATGTTTTTTTGTCTGTCTGTCACGTCTGTGAATGTTAATGCAAAAAGAAGAAATGTTAATATTCTCACACAGTCAAACTTTGTGCCCCACATTTAGTTTGCTGGGGTAATCCAGTTATTATTAGTTATTTCTGTGTTTATGATATTAAATATTAAAGTTCTCCGCATTTCCAGGCACTTATTTCGGTCGTGCACTGTAGTAATTATTTGCTGATGAACAACACTCTCTGCTCTGTTCTCCAGAGCTCACACCTGCTTCAACCGGCTGGACCTCCCACCGTACCCGTCTTTCTCAGTGCTGTACGAGAAGCTGCTGACTGCTGTGGAAGAGACCAGCACCTTTGGACTGGAATGAGATTCTCGTCTCCCATATCCCAGTTTTCCCTGCGTCTGCCCCTGGAACACTGCTGCTGATAGTGAATTTTGAAGTCCAACTCCTGATTTAAATTTATAACAGGATGTTTTGTTACAGGACCTTTTGAAATGTTTTGTGTACAAAGGTAAACCTTTTTGTTGCACCTGCATGAATTTCACACCTACTTAATAACTTGCTTTCACCGATGTGACATGACAAATGAAGACCTGCGCTCGCTTTAGGACTCTGACTGGAACTGCCAAGATCTGACCAATCAGAGGTCAAGGGCGCCTGAGTTTTTTTTTTATTTGGGGGGAGGGAGGGGGGGGGTAATCAAGGAGGTTAAAATGGTTGGACCAACTAAAGAACCTGCAGCCACTGCCTTCCCTGCGAATGTTGACCTGATTCTACTTCTTTAGCTGAGTTTGGATGGATCTCAGAGGACTATAAGGACCATCCAAAACTACGTGTCTCTACAATGCACTTGTAATACAGCATGTTATTGTGATGTAGTAACTTCACTATGTGTAGGTTGTGCGTTTATTTATTAAAAACCTGAGGTAGACCTAAGGTCACTTTTGTTTTGTTTTTTCAGCTAATTCTGGAGTGCAGTCAGACGTTTTTGCAGTTCCCTCGTTGTTTAACTCGTTTTCTAATGATGCAGGAGTGACATGTGTGATCTGAACTAGCTAGCTTTACAGTGTAGATTGTGATATCTCTACCAGATCTGGATCTGTTGGCAAAAACATGTTTGGTCACCACTTACCTGAGTTACTATATTGACAACCAATATATGATCATCAATTTATCATTTTACTTTTACAACCCCAGTCTTCAAAACATTAGGATGCTATGTAAAATATAAATTAAGGCAGAAAATTTTGAGGAAAAAAAGTCAATTTGAATCTAACGGCAGAAACATCTCATAAAAATTAAGACGGGATCGTGTCATGTTTATCACTATTTAGTGAGTCTTTGGAAAAGGAATGTTATCTCCTTCTTGTCTGATATCGGATTCTAGTTAAGTCTTCTTTGTTGTGTTTTTCACTTCATCATGTATCAAATGTTTTAACTGGTGAAAGTCTTCGATGTCAGACCTTATTCAGTCATTCAGCAGTAAAAGCTCTGTAACGGTAGAAGCATGAACGTTACCCATAAAATCCCATTCGATGGACTTTGCAGTTAGTTCATTCTCTTTTGTATATTCAGATCTTCACTTAGGATGCAGTATAAATTTAAGCATGCACTGCATTACCACAAAAACAAGTCAAATCTTTAGTCCTGGACTTTGGTTTATATTATTGTTTCATGCACAGAAAATTAAAGGAACCTGAAAGCAGTGCATGAAAAAGTCGCCCTTAATGAAACTAAATATTTCTGAGTAATTCTGATGTACTAACATTAATGCTGACACAAGTTCTCAATTACTTACTTTGAATTTGTCCATATTCTCATCATCTTTGACTGTCCCTTTAGTTCTGACTTGTTTTCTTGTAATATGAGTGTTGTGTGTAAACATGCTTAATTCTCCATCTACTTTCTTTTCTTGCTGAAATGCGTTTACACCACTGGTTGTTGTAACAAAGTACCAACATACACACTGCTACTGTGCAGAGAGGTTTATGTGTGTTCGATGGCATTCAACAGTGTAAATTATTTAGTGCACAGTTATTTATTCAGAACATTGGAACCACTCCTGCTGCTTTAAATATCTGAAATTGATTTTGTCTTGGACCTACTGTTTTCCTTCTTTATATTTTTAGAGACTGAAGATACATTTTGGCAGGAAGTTGAGTAAAATTTCATGTACAAACTCACTTCAAATACTTCTCGTACTGAACAGTTGTCAGTTTCTCACTTGTCTGTCTGGCTAGAATGTACCAAAGTTTTGAGCCTTACGTGGCAGCCACACATCTGACAGCCAATCAGTCTGTCCGGTCCACCTTACTTTAATATATGAATATTTGTAAGCACTTCTCTTCTAAAATAAAGTTTCATCTCTATATAAGTTTTTGTTTGGTTTTTTAATGACTTTGTGTCTAATGACGATGAATCAGGGCTTAAATTTCATAATAATACCAGATTAAACCAAACATCAAGATGCACAATGATTATTATTTGTAATAACCATGAATTGGGGATGTAGAAATATAAACGGCCTGTTTCTTCTAAAATTAAAAGTATTTTATATAATAATATAATTATGTTATTATTATAAATAGATTATATAATCCTTAATATTTTCTACATTTCAAATGTGAATGTCTTAATTATGAATCATCCATAGGCAGATTATTGCTGTTTTACTGTACACCTGGGACCTAATCTTATCTTATATGTAACTAGCTGAATGATGGCAAAAGTGAGATGAAGACTGAAATGAGGATATTTGGATATTCTGCTAACACTTCCCAGTCATTCTCTGAGTGGTAGTGAAACTGTATTTTTTTATATATAAAACAAATATTTAAATATTTGCCTTTGGCTTGAATCAATCTTGAATAAATTGAAAATCACTAATAGTTGATCTGTGCTACACATCATTAACTTCTTCATGGCGAGACATCAATGTTCGCTGTGCTGCTGGGGTCACACCCTTTGTCGAAATCTCAAAGTTTTCACTGTATTGCCAAGACCAACTACTTAAGGCTTTCCTGGAGAAATGTGAGGCTCCTGGGGTCACCCTCCACTATACTGTACCCCAAAGTGTAAAACATGGTGAGGGGCCAAGATGGCAGCACTGTGAACGGTCTGCTACAGAACTCGCTCTGTCTTAAAACTCCTTTAAAAGCAGCAAAGCGAACTCTAAGGTGCACACTCGTAGGTGTATGTGATGGAAAAAAAACCTGGGCTCAAATAAGAGAGCTCTTATCACTCCTACTTCCTCCCTGTCAAAACCTTCTGGTAAGAAAAGAGTGACGGAAACTGACATGGCAGAAAGCATTATTACAATGCTCAAGATGGCTATCGAAGAGCAAGGAGCTAACATCGAGAAGAGTATTAGCGACCTGAAGGTTACTATTAACTTTATCTCAGAAGATCTCAGGAAAAGTGTCTCGTACGGAAGTAAGGGTGGATAAAGCAGAAGAGAAAATTAAAACACTGGAAAACAAGGTGTTGGAGTTATCTTGATGTAAACGAAGACGGAACCTGTGACTTCAAAAAAAATATTATCAATCCTCTGATTATTTTTGCCAAATTTCACATACATTGTACAAAATTTTCTCAACAATGTCCAAACATATTTGCTTTTAAAGCACTGTTTTCCAATTATCTAGAGTATCTAAAGAAGAGCACCAACTCCAAAGCATGTAAAACACAAGAGCTGTGTTGAATGTACAGTTTCCCTTGATTTATGTTTTTTATTTATACTTTGAGCACCTCTTTCTTTTTTAATCGGTTATTTTGTTTCTTTGTTTTCTCCTAAAGTATACTTTTTTGTTTACGTACTAGTATTTGTATACATGACTTGTAAAAGATACTGCAAGCTGTGAAATTTTTCATACCCTTTCTATAACTACATGTATATTTGTTGTTCAATTGTTCAAATTAAGAAAAAAAGCGTAAAACGTGTCATTTCCTGTTCCCACTAGGTGGCGCTGTCACTGGTGTCAAATATGGCAGTTGAAATATGTTCAGGGCTGGAGCTTTATCATTTGTGTGCACTTCGGTCCAGATAGGACCATGTAGGACGGAATGAGAGCAAATAAGATTTTCATGGTGAATCATCGAAATTCGTCGTGGCGCCACGGCCTCACCCTATCCCGAAAACTCAAAAGCTCCACAATTTAACATGGCCCAGGTGTGCAGCTGGCACTGACCAAATATGAAGCTGATAAGATCAAGTCCCGATGAGGAGTTTGCAAAAGTACAAGGCCTGGAAATAGCAAAAACTGAGCCAAAATGTCACATTCAGACCAAAATGATGGACTTCCTGTTGGGTTTGTGTCAATGGTCCCACTGACTTTTTTGTTCATGTCAGCATGATACACATGTGGGCCAAATTTCATTCATGTAGCTCAAACGATGTGTTCGTAGGACTGCATTTAACAACACATAGGTGGCGCTCCAGAGCCATTTTCCAATGCTCATATGTAAAACCATTAAAATACGAAATTTGTCACTAGACCTGACATGTGTGCAACATTTCATGAGTTTTTGAGCATGTTAAAGCCCTCAAAAAGGCACTTGTTTCGCCTGAAGAAGAAGAAGAAGAAGAAGAAGAAGATGAAAGATACAGTAGGGCCTCAGTGCTCGGGCCCTAATAATAATAATAATAATAATAATAATAATGATAATAATACTAATAATGATAATAAACTGAGCAGAGACAATAGTAATTACTAATCATCATTATGACAATGGTTATTGAAAAACACAATACCCTATATACAGAGGATTGCGTGTAGTCTGCTGAGGAGGAACAGATTTTCATCCGGAACATTGCCACTGATATTCACTTTCCACCCGGAACGGCAAAGCGATGCACATTAAAACATGGCGGCCAACATAGAGCAAATTTTTCAAGATTTCATATTAAATAAAATCAGAGAAATTGAAGACCAGAATGAGGACAAAACGTATGTTGTTTGTTTGTATTCTTCTATTGAGACGTTATTTGAAATTTCACTGAACAGACATGTTAGTCGCTGCTGCAGCTACCGGTTGCTGCACCAGTTGCCAAATAAAGGATGAAAGCTAACGTTGCTTAGGTTTGTTTTCAGTTAAACTGTAGCGCTAGGAGCGAGGCCATTCGTGGACGCGGGAGGTTGAAAAGAAAGCCGAGAGAGTCCGTAAAGTTTAGAAACAGCTAATTAGGTTTGAAGCGGACATTTTTCTATTTAAGTCACTGCCGGTTTTAATGATAAGACTGAAAAGAATTCGAAGCAATGATAGAAGAAACCTGAAACCTCTTAAATCTTCAACAGGCATGACTGTTAAACACCTCATCTGGATCTTATTATCCAATAAGCGGTGCAGGGAGAGGCTTCAGAATATTTAATTTAATAAACGTTGGCTGACTCTTTGTGGTCAAACAGTAACACGTATTTTCTCTGCCTCTGTCCATCAGTGATGCTAAAAGAGTGGGTGACTGCAGTAACATGGATGGAGCAGAAAATGCCTCTACAAAGAGACACAAAGACGTGAGAAGCAGCAGTTCACACAAGAAGCACAAAAAACACAAAAGCAAGAGGAAGAAGAGGAACCGAGAGAAGGAGAGTAGTTCAGAGTCTGGGGCAGACCTGAAGCGAAAAAATAAACACAAGTCAAGGTGATCCTGAAAGCACACGCTGCAACATCCACAGTCAGAAAACCTGTGCTCACGCTCAGCCAGCAAATATAACTCAAAAGAAAGCATGTGATAGTCTGAGAGGAAGGGGCGGGGCTCACAAAGGAACCTGTAACTTACCTGTGCATTATGTCCAGTTTCAAAATTCAGTGAATGAAGGGAGTAAAAAGTTTACTACATACACAGCGGGATAACGTGTAGCCCGCAACCTAGATCGTTCAGGGGGGCAACACTACTGTACAAAGACAGTCAATGGGTTAAATGTGTTAAATGTGTCTAATTCAGGCTTTATCTTTGCTTCATAGAAGAGGAACACCAACGGAAAGAAAAACTGAGCAAGGTACGGCGCTTTGTTATATTGTCAACTTTTTGAGCATCGAGTGTTTACCACAGATAGACTTTGTATATTAACAGCTGCCCTGTTAGTTTCTGTGGCTAATTTTATATATGTTTTTAAAACATATTTTCAGTAGACAATCCCTCTGTTCTTATTTAAAAGTTGAGTCACTGCTGACCAGCTGGCCCTGGCCCTTTTCAGTCTCATGTTCTCAGAAGCTGATTGGTTTGACATCGTCCCCGTCTTTGATGTCCTTCTTTAGCTACATGAAGACTCTGGTCTTTTGTACTGTTTTCTAACTGCACCCTTTTGTCTGCTCTGGAAGGCAGTATGTCTGTGTAGGTTCTCAGAGACCGTGTATGTCCACTGTGAATGACCATCATTGAACAGAGGGGGTGGCTTAAGACACCCGCCTACAAAGCAGTCTTGATATCCCTTCCCAGGTACCTCAACACGCGCTCACATTTTGCGTCAGGTGACCTGATAGGTCACATGATAGGGTGAGGAAAAGTCTCCTCAACCCATTATTGATCATGTGCCTCATCACATGAGCCAAGCTGTTTAAAAGTGTGTG